CAGAGCATGGCCTAGTGGGGCATGGGGAGATGGACAAGAACGTGCTTTGCTGTGCTGGAGCAGCAGCATGTTGGCCCAGGGGAGCCTGGATGAGGACCTCCATGTAGTCACTCCGTGGAGGGGAATGCACTGGGCTGGACTGAGTATAGAGCCCCGTGTGGCGGGACTTGAGGACAGGACCACATTGCAGGAGCACCGGTACATCTGACACCACTGTGCAGAGTATCACACGTCTGCCAGTCAGTATTTATGTAGCATCAGTGATGGAGTCAAGCAGGTAGCAAAAATACATTAAAATTGTAACATTTTACTATAGAATATAAGTTATGATGATTATACAAAAATATAATAATTATATATAGTATAATTATAGTCAGTCTTTAGCTGTATTTAATTACGAATAGCTTTCCTTTTCTCCCCCAAATGATTAATTTGAAAACAACTTATTGTGTTCTAGCAGCAAAGGCCCTGCAGCCCCTGTGCGGAATTCCAGTGTCCTTTGTGTCCCACAGTTGCTGCCTGTCTGGAAGGCTTTTGGTGTGCGTGTGGAGAAAACCACAGGGGCAGGCCAGGGCTTCTGCCAGCCTGGGTTCTGCTCCTGCGGTGGTGTGGCTTCTGTATTCTAAAGGATGGGTGTCCGGATGACAGATCACGTCTGCTCAGCAGTCTCTAACCCTGGCAAAGACTTGCTGCCCATTGCTGGCCACAGTATGCACATGGGGAGATTGTGTTTTTACTATAATGCTGATTTCAAGGAGAATTCTTTTCATATTTCATAGAAATAAAATGTTGAAATTTCAGTTTTTTTTCTTTTTTTTTTTTTCCTTTTTCTGATGCTGGGGATTGAACCTAGGGCCTGCTGTTGGGCAAGCGCTCCTGCACAGAGCCATACCCCAGCCCAATGTTTGAAGGTTAACCCTCACTTTGACACTTTGAAAATCCAGTATGTCCAATTGGAGAGTATTGCCAGTGCTTCTTAGTAAATGTTTGCCATAAGCCGTTTTGTTATTTATAATAAATGTATTGTCAAGAGATTTAGATGGGCTATTCCTACCAACTGTCAAAAACATAATAAATGTACTATCATAAGTGTGGCTATCGTACAAGTGTCCACACTGTCTCAGAATGAAAGATTGAACCTGAGTGGTTTTTGGAGACAAGAATAATGCAGTTTAGGCATGAAGCCGAAGGTCATAGTTAGGACTGAGAATTCCAGGTAGAAGCAAGACAATAGTCATGTGGCTGTTTCTTGGTATACAGGTAGAGCAACAAATTATTTGCATACAGGTGATTGAGTTTGTGAGCAAAGGTGGTGTATGATGTGAGCTTGGCGAGTTGGTTGGGGATTGGGATTCTGTGATGTGATTCTGTGACACTGTGTGGACTATAGCCATACAGAACGGGGACAGTGTGAGGCTGGAGACCAACTCCTGAGCACTGATGCAGGGATGGCTTTGTCCCTGGGTGGCAGGTGAGGAGCTGGGCTTTTGCTGTGGCTCAGGTGGGATTTGTCTCCAGATGGCAGCAGGGCTTGGGGTGGGAAGTGGGGCTCAGGACAGAATAGGCTGTGCGTTGGTGGTTGTTGAAGCTGGGTGAGGGTGACATCAAGGGCTCCTAATGGCATCCCCTGTTAATTTTGTATATTTGCAAATTTTTTCATAACAAAAAGAAAGACTGAGCAAAACAAAAGCGTCTTTGAATGTAGACCTGCTTTCAGAGCAGCACGGTGTGGGGTTGTCTGCGAGAGGTGTGGGAACCAGGGAGGGGCGCTTCCCATCTCCCTGCACTGTGGGCCCCAGGTGCGTCCCAGCGTGATTTCAATCATGTCGTGGTTGAGTTCTATCCTGGCTTCTGTTGAGTCATCAGGTGTCTCTCTGAGACCTGCAATTGAAGAGACAAGGCAAGGAATCATAGGCACATGGTGGCTCCCTGTGTCCAGCTAGCCTTCAGACACTGGTGGGCGGGGGGGGGGCGGCAAGCTGAGGGTGCTGGTGGCTGGAGAGTGGGCTGTGCAGGTTCCAGGGAGTAGGTGCCCCACAGGAGGCCACGGTGTTGGCCCACTCAGGAGCCAGAGTGTCTGTAGGGCCCAACGGAGGGGTCTGCAGTGCAGCCCCTCCCTCCCATGGGCCCAGGCCTTTTTCAGAGCATGGTGTGGGAGTTGGATGGACAAGGCCACTTCTATGCCTGCGGAGTGTCCTAGGCAGTGCTGTACTGTGTTTCAGACTCCTTACTGCAGAAGGGACGATAAAAGTTAATGGGGACACGTGTGTTAAGTGTGAGCGTAGGTCAAGGATGGTTCTTAGCTGAGGTAGGAGAATAGTGCAGAAGGGAAAGGGCTTGTAAGTCACCCAGACCTGGCTTCAGCTGCTGGTGAGACTTTGAACATGTCCCTTGGCCTCTGTGTTTGCCCTGCTATGTGGAACAGGTGAAATATCTGCTGTCCTTGGTGGTATGGGAGGGTCACCCAACATGGCGCACCAAAGTGCTCACACCCAGGGTCCAGCATAGGGTCCTCGGCAGCCCTTTCTGCCTCTGTGGTGCAGCCCTGAGGAGGCACTGAGGTGCTGTGGGTGCTCTCCTGTCAGCCCCTGCTGCCGGCTGTGGTGTCTTTTTGGTTTTGAGTGCTGCTTTGCTCAGGACTTGGAGCTTGGGTCAGGAGTAGGTGTTAAAGCCTGTATTGGTCACCAGTGGGTTTCTCATCCTTACACCTGGCTCTAAAGGAGGTGGACTGGGTGGCAGCTCGGGCTCAGCCTGCTGAGAGTATGGGGCTAGGGTCCAGAGCTTCGGGGAGCAGCAAGCCTTCTTTTGGACGTGTAGTTTTAATGCAGAGTTTGGGGAGCAATGTTGGGTTTGTGGCACAGCTGACCAGAAGATGGTGTGGCTGTTCCCCAGGCCTCACCTGGGGCACTGGTGTCCTGAGATTGCTGCAAATTGCAACTACAACTGGGTGGCTAAAACCTCTGAGCCGGAGTCGGAGGTCCAGGTGTGGGCACCTCGGGAGCCATGGCAGATCCCCCGTGTCTTGGAGACTGGAGACGGGTGTCACAGTCCTCAGCATTCCATGGCTTGTATTTGCCTCACTCCAACCTGTGCCTCCCTCTCACCTGGCCATCTGTCCTCTTCCTCATGTCCCACCCTGTTCCAGAATGACCCCATCTTAACTAGCGACATCAGCAGCAATCCTGTTCCAAATCTGGTCCCCTTGCTGGAGTGCTGGTCCTTGGCCTGTTGGTTGCACAGAGAGAACTCTCAGCACTTCTCCTGAGCTCCAGCTGTCTTTCTCCACATCCGTGTCAAGGGGAGCAGAGTGGTGACCCAGTGTGGCCCAGGGCACTTCCCAAAAAGCCGCTCACAAAGGGTGCCCACAAGCTAGCTGAAAGAGTATAGGTGCCCAGACCCGAGAGGCCCTGCGCCTTTCTGCGGTAATCCTCTGTGGCAGCCGCTGCCTCTCCTCTTGCTGGCCATGGTGTCAGAATGATGTGTCCTGTTATCTCGGAGCACAGGCTGCTTCCCTTCCCCTGAGCTAAGAACTGTCTTATCTACATAGGCAGCCCGGGATGGGTGCTGACAGACGGGAAGAGACTATTAACGATTTTTAGGCCAATTGATTTTGCCCCTGTGAGGGTTCTGAATAATACAGAAAGTAGGATGTTTTGTACTTTCCTAACACATTTTTTAAGTTTTGCAAATTTTTCTTAGCTAAATGTTGGTAGGATTTTTTTTCTTTCCTAAAACTGTCCTAGGTGGTAGAGCAACAGTTATGCTTTAGGCTGCTCAGTGGGTAATCTTCAGTTTGTGAAGATTCCTGAGATTCGTTGCCAACTCGGGGTCTGTGAGGTTGGAACTGGGCTGACTCAGGGGGCCTGTGGCCCCCTCCCCCTGCCCCATCCTTCTACAGGCCAGACCCCGCTGGAGGTGCTGCATGGCAAGGCTAGAACCAGCGTTGTGTGGTGTAGATTCCAGTCCTGTGTTGTTCGTCGCCTCTCCCTGAACTTGGCCACAAGCTTTCTTGCTCTCTTGGACTTTTGGCTGTTGGTTGCTTTTGACTTCTGGGAATGGTGGCTTCTGGGCGGGTCCTTGCTGTGATGGCCTCAACGTCCCCTGCTACTTGTTCAGATACAGTGCTGGCCAGTCTGGCTGAGGGGGCTGCTGGGTGGGTCAGCATGCGCACTGTGACCAGCCCACCCTGCTTGAGAGCCCCCCCGGGTGAGCCTTAGGCATCTTCTAGTGTGTTCTTGGGGGGCCTCTGAAACTGGCTCTCGCGAGCAGGGTAGTTCTTGCTCTCGGCAGTACTTGCTACAGCGGCTTTCTTCTTCCCAGTGTTACTTGGTATCGTCTTCCTTAATTTGTCTTTCTTTGTTAAAGTTTCCTATCATTAAACGTGATGCATGGCTCAGAGAGAGGGAGGAACACCAGCTTATGCTGTTGGTTCTTGGAAGATTATTTTGTATGCTAGGAAAGTTAACTAGTGATGTCAATTTTTTTTTTTTTTTGTACTGGGATTGAACTCAAAGACACTCAACCACTGAACCGCATCCCCAGCCCTATGTTGTATTTTATTTAGAGGCAGGGTCTCACTGAGTTGCTCAGTGCCTCACTTTTGCTGAAGCTGGTTTTGAACTTGTGATTCTGAGCCTCAGCCTCCAGAGCTGATGACAGTATTTTTATACTCTATGAAAATATAAATATGCAGTACAGTTTCACTTCTTGAATCTAAAACTAGTTATATTGACTAGATCGCTCAGTACTGAGGAACGTAGCCTTTGTTTTTTTCCAGAGTGTCTATGTTTCCCGCCTCACTTCCACTGTAATCTGTTATATTGAAAGAGTTGCAGAATTAAATGGTCCTGGGTAGCGATACTTTGCTAGTTTGTTACTTTGGTGCTTTGGTGAGTCAAACTCTTGCGGATCCTGAATTGCTTTGTATTTCAATTCACTATTTGTGCTTATGTAAGAATTTTTAAAAATCTGATTTTTACATTTTATGTTTCCCATTTTAGTGTAGGAAAAATGACGATGGAGAGACGACTCTTGTTGTTGAAAAGGACCATTTTATGGATGATTTCTTCCACCAGGTAAAAGCATTTGATGAAACTTAGTCATAGCCTTTTTCTTTAAACACAGTTATGCTGATGTAACGATGCACTTGCCATGTTTGAGATGATATTAAAGTGAGTGCAGTCACACACTACATGAATATCCTGGACAAAGGAGACCGTAGGTTTGATGGTGGACCCACAGGCCGTGCTGATTTGTCAGGTACACTTCATTATGCTCACGCAAGGAACAGCCCTTAATTTGGTCCCATTGTTGAGCGGTGCATGACTGTATTTTTAAAAAGTTGTTGTTTGCACTCGAAAGTTCTTTGGATTTTTACAACTATCAAGATGTTAGTTGGTATTGAGAAGGTTGAAGTGGTGGTTGTGCTCACAGCTGGTGTGAGGGTGGGTGTGCATAGCAGGTGAGGCTGCTGTAGCGAGCAGCGGGACTCCTCCCCAGGCCGGGGGACCTGTGCCCTGGGCAGAGTGGGGCCATGGCACTGCCCACTGTTCCCATACTTGTCTCTCAGTCTGAGCTCATGGTGCCAGACAGTACTTCCTGCCACTCCAAGCCCCCTCAGGAGACCAGCCAGACCCTTTAATAAATTGTTCAAAGTTCTCACAGGACCTGAGGGCTCCTTAGTCCTTTGGAAAGCAGAAGTCCTAGCTGCAGAGGTTGAGCTGAACTCAGCAAGCACGGCACACACCAGCAGCCACTCTGTGTCCTTCACAGCCACACAGATCCCCTTAGAGTTCTCTGGGGCTAGAAGGGAACATTTGGTATGTTTTTAAGATCTGATGGAAAACTATATTTGCTTACATACAAGACTCTTAGGAGAAAGATTGTAAGTGATCTAGTGACTGGCGTTTAGACTGTGGAAGATTGTCAGAAGGGCCATTGTGAAAGCTCTGATCTGACAGTGGCCGCTTGGCCATGCCTCAGGTGTGAGTACCCAGACCCTTGGGAACCACGTCCCTCTAGCCCACAAGGCGTGCTCTTCCCCCACTGCTGCTTCAAGGATTATAACAGGTTTAATATTTGATCTAGTGTTGCATAATTGCAAATTTTCAAAACTCAGTCATAATACAAATGCTTAGTTAGTCATGAAGAAAAGAAACGTTCAGTGAATTTTTTCAGGGTGGAAGCTTCATTTCCAGGATTCATGTTGATTAGGCAGACTTTGGTCGAGTATTTGCAGTTAACTCCTAAAACAAAGTGGTCAATCAATACATGGGTTTCAAAATACGTAATGTGTTAATAAAAACATACAGAGAGTTGGATTCAGTCCCCAGCGTTGCAAAAACAAAAATATATAAAAAGTTAACGGTTTCTCTGATTCCACCAGAATTCTTGATTGTCTTAAGTCTGTCACTGGTTTTCAAGTATTTGTTAGTTCCAAATTTTACCTAATGGGAAAAACATAAGAATAAATTGTTAGATATAAGAACTATAGGAAGAAATTAAGAGACTGGATTGCTGACTTGACTTCTTGGAGACAACTGTTGATTGCCTTGGGTCTCTCTGCCACTCAGTCAATTATGATGTTTCCAACACCTTTACCCGGGTGCTCAGCTCTTTGTAAGAATGTCTTGTTTTAGAGACTCCCTTAGCATTCAGTGGTGTTGAACACAGTAGGAAAGGTGATGTGTAGCCATTCACTGGATGCCATCAGGCTGTAGGTTTTGCTGATCTGGTCAGAATTCATTTTTGCTATTGCCCTCAGGGATGCCGGAAAAGCAATTCACTCATGCTTTGGGACAGTTGAGAGGGATTGAATTCCTTTGGTTTCCAACATAAGCTTAAGCTTCCATTTGTTAAATAGTAGCTTTGTTTCGCAGATTATTTCTGTGAAATGACTTCTTAGACAAATAGAGAAACAATTGATATTTGTCAGTGCAAGCTCACTTATAGAAAATATCATTCAGATCTTAAGCAAAACATAGAATGCTGTAGAAGACAGGATTTTGTGGATGATCAGTGTGTGGTTAAGACTGACACGGTGCTCTCGAGTGGCAGGGATGTCCTTTTTGAGAAGATGATTATAATAGAGAGACCCTGTGTGGAGGACTCACACACGCGGGTTGGAGCTGGCACTGCCACCAAGGTGGCTTCCTCCCAGGACGGAGCTCTCAGCCCTCGGTTCCTTTCCTTTGGAGCCCCTTGGGGTGTGTCACAGAACTCTCCAGGGCTGGAATCTTCCCTTTGCTTCTCCATGTGCCGTGGCTGCATAACTCTGAAGCTACTTTAGAAAGGGTACTTGCAAATGCACCCTGAAATGTGATAGCCTTCATGATGACATAGAAACATTTTAAAGAGTTTTAATCATAGCATTTTTTACATGATATAAGTAATAAGTGCAGTGCATGCTGTCATGCAGACACTGTGTAAGCACACCTGGCCTGGAGGAACAGCTGCTCTTAAAATGCAAAATTGTGTGCTGGACTGTTAATACTCTGACTTTCCAAGTGCAGTCTAGGGTCCCGAGGCCCCCTCAGGAGGCCCTGTGGTCAGAACTACCTTCATAGTAATACCACAGTGTTGTGTCCACCCTCATTCCTGCTGTTCCACCGAGGTGCAGAGGCAGTGTTCAGAGGCACACACTGAACACAAGAGGCTAAGAGAGAGTCACACTGCCTTCCACCAGACTAGAAATAGATCTACCAAAAAAAGGTCAATCACTGATGCTACTTTCACTGATTTTATTTTTGGGAAAATATTTTTTTCCCATAAAAATATGTTAAATTAGTGCATAATATTTTTGTATTGCTGCTGTAATAAGTCACTACAAACCTGAGAGCTTAAAAGAGCACAGATTTATTGTTCTACAACTCCAGAGTTCAGCATTCTGCAGCAGTCACACAGGCTGAAGCGAAGGTGTGGCCAGGGCTGTGCAGCAGAGGCTGCAGGAGAGCACGCCCTGTCTTTTCCTCTCCTGCCCTGGAGGTGCCTGAAGTCCTGGCCTGCCCACAGCCCTTTCTTCTGCCCTCCCAGCACACCTGTCAGGCTGATCCCATCATCCTGTCTCCTCCTGACATTCTGTGTGGAAGGCCTCTTGTGGTTATATTGGATGGCCCAGATAATCCAGGATAATCTTCCAACTCAGAGTCCCTTTGCCATGTAAAGGGATGTGTTCCCCATGCCAGGAGTGGGATGTGGACATAGACCACCATGTGTAATGGGCTGTGACGACTGTTTTCTAGTAGATGTGCCTCCTACCTCAGTGGTCATCTGTCCCTCCTGTAGCCATAGCCAGCTTGCCATCCTCTTCTTCCTGAGAACATTGTGACCCTGTCCAGGGCCAGCCTGGATGACTCAGGACAATCTCCCATCTCAAAGTCACATGGGTAAAGGGTGGTTTGCTGTATGAAGTAATGTTCACAGATCCTGGGATTGATCTGGAGGGCCGTTGTGGAGCCTGGAAAGGTCTTACAATGAAGACATTAGGTTTTAAATGAATGTTGACCAGCTTAGTCCACTTAGAGATCAAAGGTAATGAACAGGAAAGGCTGGCCATGTGAGCTGCAGCCACCCCCAGAAGGACATTCCTGTAGGCACTCTGCAGGGCCCACCCCTCCCCGACGAGGGCTGGGCCGGTGTTGGCACTACCCACAGTGATGCCTGGGGCTCGATAGTCTTTGGAGTTCGCTGGTGAGTAACGACGTTCATCTTAAAAAGCAGGGATATGGTTCCTTTCTCGCTCTGTTTTTAATGATATCACGGAGAATAGGAAAGGTTCTTATTTCTTTATGTGGTATTTATTCAAATATTTCCCCTTTATTCCTCCTTTTTTAGGTAATGGAAAGAGATAGAAAGTTTGCGCTCGCCCCAGGTGATTCTCTTTGTGTCTCCCCTAGGTGGAGGAGATCAGGAATGGCATAGCCAAAGTAGCTCAGTATGTGGAAGACGTGAAGAAAAACCACAGCATCATTCTCTCTGCTCCAAACCCAGAAGGAAGTGAGTTGTCGGCTGTAAGAAAGCCTGTCTGTCTGTCTTTGCTTTCTCTCCTGCTGCCTACAGCACAGGCCTCAGCTCTAACATCACAGTTGGTGGAGCGAGGTGCTTGCATGAACTCCAGTGTCTATGCCTCCACAAAGCATCCCCAAATCTCTGAGTGGCCCAGCGTCCACCCAGGGAGGACCACTGGTGTGAGATCCAAAGCAACATTGAAATGACATTGCAGAATAGTGATTCGACCTGAAGTCCATGTCTTGCCACTTTTGGACAAGAATGACAGAATTTTGTGTTCAGGCCAGTTAGTAGGAGGTGGGTCTGGAAATGGCCTTTACTTGTCAGAGCCCGTGGAAGGACAAGACAGGCCGAGAGGGGCTCGGGGTCTGTGGGAAAGCTCCTGTGAGGTGTGTGCGCAGTGTCTGCTGCAGACAGCTGCGAGCAAGTGAGTTTAGGTAGCTGCGGTTGTTGGCGGTGCAGCATCCCCTGGATCTGCATATGGTCGACCGTTAAGGTAAACTCAGATCTGAGCGAGCCATGGCCACAAGCCAGAATCCAGTTGCCATTATGGGGCAAAATTGTTTAAAAAAAAAAAAAAAAAAAACTAAAAGCAGATATGCTTTTTGTTAGTATCTGTGCACTAGAAAAATAAGAACTTGGTTTTAAATCAAAAGAGAATATACATTTTTTTAATTTTAAGATTTCGCGTGTCTTATAAAATGATGTTGTGGGCTCAGTAGGTGTCCTGTTTCTGACTTAATAGAATGTTTCCCAAAATGTGCTCCTGGAGCCTGGCTAAGGACTTAGATGGTCGGTGACACACACTCTGTGGCCACGCGCATCTGTGGGCTGCTTTGTGGCTGTCTCCTCTTGGAAAGTTTGGCGTCCTCAGCGCAGCAGTGCCTGGGGGGTCCTGCCACACAGATGCCTGTGTGGCCTTGCTTGGTCTGACACTTGTGCCCAGGTTACTTTGTATGTGGCGTTTGTCACCACTCTGCTCAGTTCTTAGGGAGACTTCATGTGTATAAAGACCAGATATTCTTTTGAGTAATGTTGCCTCCAAAGCTTTTTTTTTTTTTTTTTGGCCACTAAGAGCAGATATAACTGTTTTCTGAATTCAGAGCTATTGATATTTCAGAGCAGTTCCTTTTGGGCTTTAGGTAAAACTGCTGCTTTTTGTCTGCTGTGTGACCGAGTGTGAACCCCAGAGTTGAAAGCCATGTCCAGAGGCTTACTTGGTCTCTAAAAAGCAAAGTACGGGGCTGGGATTATAGCTCAGTGGTTGAGCGCTTGCCTCGCATGCGTGAGGAACTGGGTTCCATCCTCAGCACCACATTAAATAAATAAATAAATGAAACAAAGACATTGTGTCCATCTACAACTGAAAACAATTTTTTAAAAAAGCAAAGTACAGTTACCCCCTTACCCCAGTAATGAGTCCTAGGAGAAGGAGTTCAGGATGGTGCCTTAGCAAAGGGCTCCTGTCCCCTTCTTGTCCTTTGTTCCCAAAGAAACAGGTGGCTCTGGTTCCTGCCAGGTCAAGCAGGAGGGAGAGAGGAAGTGGGAGAGTTGAGTCTCCAGCTGTCCACAGACCCAGGGGACAGGCAGGCTCCTGGGTGCTACCGTGCAGACAGCAATAGTAGTCTTCTCATGTGGTTCTCAAGAGTAGTCAGAATAGCTCTTGTTGACATCTCCAGAGGTCAGCCTTCCCTCCAGTCTCACAGTAGTGGACTCCTGAAGATCTACTGTGTGCTGGAATTATACAAATGAAAGTATTCCTTAATGCACAGTGGATTCCTGTGTGAATGCCATGTCCCTCTGGAAGGTGTGCAGGTCAGTTCTTTTTGAGTGGTACCATCTAGTGCCATTCCTGGTTCCGGATGCGAGTAGCTTCTCCAGACCAGAAACACCCCATGAGTTTCAGATGCGGGTTGGGCAGTATGGAGGAGCACCCCTGGGACCTCTGGAAAGGTGTTCACAGAGGAGGCCATGGGCAAGATGGTCTCTGTGCTTTAGTCTCTGGGTTTTTCTGGTTTAATCTAGTACAGATAATCTTTCTAAAGTGTAGCTTTGTGGAACTCTTCCTTTGCTTTGAAAACTTTAGTGCTGACTACTGCTTGTGGAAGAAACCAGAAACTCTGCGGCCTGGCCTGTCTCTGGTCACTTCCACAGAGGGTCACTTCAGCTGGGGCCAGGGCTCCCAGTCTTGGGCTGCTGTGCTGCCTGAGGTCTTCTTGCTGTGTTGGGAGCCTGCAGAGCCTCTGTTGCCTCCCGCAGGATCCTCCTTCTGAAGGTGGCCTTGGCCTTTCAGCTAACTCTCCTACCCTCCCTTGCTGTCTGTTAAGTTCTGCCGGCTTTGTGTGTCTTTCTGCTCTTCCATCAAGACTGTACCAGGACTGGCCTCTGGGGTGAGCCTCCCAGTTGCAGGCCTGTGGCGCTCTCAGTCACTGTTGGGAATTGTTTGTCAGCCAGCTGCTGGCACGGGACCTTCACAGAGAAGAACCAGGCCCCTGGTCTGCTCCTGAGGCTCTAGGAGCCAGGCCTGCCTCAGGGCAGTGGGGACACTGAGGACCTGAGGAGGGGCAGGCACAGTGTCTGGCCACTGCCCTGCGGTGGGAGGCAGCAGTGTCTCTGCCACCTGTTTCATCAGGTCATGGGCGGGGGCTGGAATTGTGCCCCTCTCAGGTTCTGGTGGAGAAGGCTCCGGCACTGAGGGCTGTGTGGTGGCTGAGCCCTGTGGTCTGACTTGAAGGCAGCTGGGCCGTGGGCCACCCTTGGGGAACCACCATTTAAGGTGTAAGTTTTTTGTTTTGTTTTGTTTTGGTGCTGGGGAACCCAGGGCCTTGAGCATTTGAGGCAAGCACTCTGCCAACTGAGCTGTGTCTCCAGCCCTGAAGGTGTGGGTCTTCTCAAGGAAAAAGAAGCTCTGCCACGGAGATTGTTTTGTGTAAATTGATTGGACGTTAGTTTCGTCGAATTTTATAGCTCAGTGCCTTCTTTTACATTTTTAAAGAAATAAAAGACGAGCTTGAAGATCTGAACAAAGAAATCAAGAAAACTGCTAACAGAATTCGAGCCAAGTTAAAGTGTAAGTTTGTTTATTTATTTATTTATTTTAAAAAATATTTATTTTAGTTGTAAATAGACCTTTATTCTATTTATTTATATGTGGTGCTGAAAATCGAACCCAGGGCCTCACACATGCTAGGCAAGCACTCTACACTGAGCCCCAGCTCTGGCCCCTAAGTTTAAATGCAGTCTTATGTTTGATTATTGATGGTGGGAATGTGAACTATTGCTTTTCTCTTCCTTACAGTTTTTTAAAAATACTTTTTAAAAAATATTTATTTTTTAGTTGTAGTTGGACACAATACATTTATTTTATTTATGTATTTTTATGTGGTGCTGAGGATCGAACCCAGCACTTCCTACGAATGTTCTACTGCCGAGCCACAACCCCAGCCCCTCTGCCTCACAGTTTTTAATTAAAATTGTGACCTCTTTAGAGCATCTCTGTGTATTTGGATGCACTGACTCATGGCTAGGGGCTGAAGCACTTAGCATTGTTGTGCTGTTGCTTGATGGCCTTCCGGCCACACTGCAGGTGTCTGAGGACAGCAGCCACCATGACACTCAGTGTTACAGCCGTGGCTGCTGCCGGCTCCAGGCTTGGGCAGGATCAAACAGAGGCTGCCTTTTCCTGATCTGGAGAAAGATGCCCTGCAGCAGATGTGTGCCTGCCGTGCCTGACCAGGACTAGCGCTGCTCCTGGGGTGACCATGCCATTCAGTGAGCTGAGAGCGATACTCAGGAGCCAGGGCCAGCTGGTGGGGCTAGCACTGCTGGACACGCCAGTGGCTTGGCCCCTTCTTCTGGGTCTTTGCAGTGAACAGAGCTTCCTTTTTTTTTTTTTTAAGAGTGTGTGTGTGTGTGTGTGTGTATTTATTTATTTTAGTTGTTGATAGACCTTTATTTTGTTTATGTATATGTGGTACTGAGAATTGAACCCAGTGCCTCACACATGCCAGGCAAGTGTGCTGCTGCTGAGCCCCAGCCCCGGCACCACCTTTTTTTTTTTTGATAAATCATAATTTTGTACTGATAGTTAATGTTAAGAATTCAAAAGGACTTTCACATCATCTTGGGGATAGTACATCTTTGTCTCTCTTCATCTGTGCCCCAAATCATGGTTCTGGCGACACTCATGTGATCACACATTTACTCTGTCCCGTGGTACACATGGAGCAACTCACAGGAGCACACTAACCACACTCACTTGCCATCAAGAGTATGAGTACCAATAAAACCATGGCATTTTCAGGTCAATGGATAGCGTTGGAGAATATAATCCTAAGTGAAGTTAGCCAATCCCCAAAACCAAATGCCGAATGTTTTCTCTGATGTAAGAGGCTGAGTCACAGTGGGATATGGAGGGGGAGCATGGTAGGAATAGACAAACTCTAGATAGGGCAGGGAGTGGGAGGGGGCAGGGGGTTAGAAATGATGGTGGAATGTGATGGACATTATTATCTAAAACACATGTATGAAGGCACAAATGGTGTGAACATACTTTATATACAACCAGAGATATGAAAAAATTGTGCTCTATTAGTGTAACATGAATTGTAATGCATTCTGCTGTCATGTATAAATAAAAAACTTAATTAAAAAAAAGAGTGCGAGTACCTAAGACAGTCAGTTGTTAAATTTTGTGGTGCTGTGGATGGAACACAGGGCCTTGCACATGATAGGCTAGTGTCCTACCACAGAGCTCCAGCTTCAGCACTTTTTGTTTTGATTGTTTTTGGTAGTGCCAGGGATTGAACCCTGGGGCACTTTACCACTGAGCTACATCCCCAACCCTGTTTAAAAAAAAATTTTTTTTTTTAATTTTTGAGACAGGGTATGACAAGTTGCTGAGGCTGGCTTGCATTTGTGAGCCTCCTGTCTCAGCCTCCCAAGTAGCTGGGATCGCTGGTGTATACCACCATGCCTGGCAGTGGTTTAATTTTTTGGTCACTTGTTTGTCCCTACATATATCTTAATGAGATATACAGTCGAATTCCTGGGTTTTAAGTCACTTTGAATAGGTCTTTTCTGTGTGATGATGTCGCTAAATAACTTGATCTATAGTTAGGTTTGTCTCATTTTTCTTTAATTATGGAGATTGCAATTTTTTTTTTGTGTGTGGCACGGGATTGAATCCTTGGGTGCTTAACCACTGAACTATATCCCCACCCCTTTTTATTTTTAATTTTTAATTAAAAAAATGTTTTAATTATCAATGGGCCTTTATTTTATTTATTTATATGTGGTGCTAAGGATTGAACCCAGTGTCTTGCACATGCTAAGCAGGTGCTCTGGCACTGAGCCACAACCCCAGCCCTTTCATTTTTTATTTTAAGAAAGGGTCTTGCTGAGTTGCTTAGGGTCTCACTAAGTTGCTGAGGCTGGCCTCAAAATCATGATCCTCCTGCCTCAGCCTCCTGAGTCAGTGGGATTGTAAGTGTGCACTACCATGCCCAACCAGAGATTGCTTTTTAAAACATTTAATTTTGCTTTATAATTATGTGAAGTATTTATGTCATTCTAAAGTAAAATCTATAAAACAAAACATATTCAAAGAATTCGGCTTCCCCGGTGCCTCTTCCAGCCTTATTTCTTTTTTTTTAATGTTTATTTTTTAGTTTTTGGCAGACACAACATCTTTGTTTGTATGTGGTGCTGAGGATCGAACCCGGGCCGCACGCATGCCAGGCGAGCACGCTACCGCTTGAGCCACATCCCCAGCCCATTCCAGCCTTATTTCTCCTTTCCACTCCATGGCAACTGTCTTTGAGATGTATGGTTGTCTTTCTGTGCACATGGATAGCCATAGATACAGGTGCGGGTGTGTGTGCGCGCGTGCGCGTACACACACACACACACACACACATATTTACTAAGAGTAGTAAAACAATCTCTCTTGATGGACAGTCTTTCCAGGGGATTATTTTAAAAGATAGCCTATTCTAGTTTTAAGAGAAGATATGTTTCAAAGAGTAAGAAAAAAACAGTTGAGATTAGGCTCAAAATATTTCAGTTTTTTAAATTTAAAAAATAACTCTGTCCTGTTTGTTCCTAGCCATTGAGCAAAGTTTTGATCAGGATGAAAGTGGGAATCGAACATCTGTGGATCTTCGGATACGAAAAACCCAGGTTTGATTTTCAGCCTCACTTAGATTGAAGTAGTGAAGAGTAGAACCTTTTTGTGTGTGGCACTGGGGGTTGGACCCAGGACCTTGCACATGCCAGGAAAGCTCGCTACCACTGAGTCCCATGCCCAGCCTAGAGTAAGTCATTTTACTTTCAAATTCAAACTAATTCTGTCTTTACTGTCGTGTTTATCCTCAAGACATTTTTGTGTGAAAGTGTAGTGTCATTTATCGATGACATCTTTTCCGTGTGGAGAAGTGTTTTCAGCCCTCAGTGGGCTTCTCTTCTGTGAGCAGAGCTCTGTCAGTGGTGTGGTCTTGGCTTCAGTGGATCCACGCTGTGCAGAGAGGAACCAGAGTGCAGAGCCCTCCCTGCAGTGGTGCCGCAGCTCATGAGCTCTGGCCAGCCTGCTTGCCCTCAGCCTTGCTCTGCATTAGTAAGGCCTGTGACCGGGGGAGTCGCGACCTCTTTGAAGCATGGTGGACACATGTGGACAGTGGAGTTGTTTATGAAAGTTAGGGTGGTGCACGTGGTGCCTGCATAGATTCTGTTACAGGGCACCGCTTGGCTATTCTTACTTCCCGTTTGAAGGAGTAGCATAAGTAGTATGAGTTTCTGAACTATAAGGTTTTCACAGACCATTTAATAGAATAATGGTTTTATTATATGTTATGTGTTAATTTTAATCATTTTATATATTAATTGTATGTTCATTGATTTGTTTTTCATGTTCTTAGCATTCTGTACTGTCTAGAAAATTTGTGGAAGTCATGACAGAGTACAATGAAGCTCAGACTTTATTTCGGGAGCGAAGCAAAGGACGCATACAGCGCCAGTTGGAAATAAGTGAGTAAGAAAAACTGTTGAAAATGCTTCCTTGGGCTTGGGCCATAGCTCAGCTGGTAGAGCGCCTGCCTCGCATGCACAAGGCCCTGGGTTCAAGCCCCAGCACCACAAAAAAAAGAAAAAGAAAAAAAAAACCCTTCCTCTTTCCTTGAGGCCTCACTGCAAAGTACTTTCACTCCAAACTACTAATTCCATCTCTGTTGTCACCAGTGTCATAAAAACTAAAGGCCTCTCCTCGCACTTCCTGGTCCTTGAATCAATCAAACCTGTCATTTATTTACACCAAAAAAATTCTAAGCAAGTGTACTTTATTTTCTGATTATTGAAATTTTGAAAGTTTTAATCTAATTCGGAAACTTCACTCATTATATGTTTAAGTATTTCTGTCCTGCAGCCCCTGATGGGCCTCTCACAGTTTGCTCCTCCATTTGACCTGCTGCGCTAGCTCCGCCCCCTTTGTAGGAACCTCTGCTGTCCTTTCCATGGGACTTAGTGCTGTGTGGCAGGACAGGCGGGCTGCATGGCTGCATGACCCCGCCCTGACACAGCTGCCCCATTCTTCTGATTCTCCCGGTGGCACTGTTAACAGCTGCCTAGGAAGGCGCATGGGGAGGTAGAAAAGCTGTCCAAAGCATTGGTGCCTCAGTCAGGGTTTAGACTTCAGGCTGAAAGCCTTGTCTCTGAGTGTCGCCACACCCTGAGCGTGGTCTCCATTGTTGCCTCTCAGCCGGGAGGACCACCACAGACGAGGAGCTGGAGGAGATGCTGGAGAGTGGAAAGCCGTCCATCTTCACCTCGGATGTGAGTCCGGCAGCTGCCCCCATCCTTACCCACATGGGTTTTCCTCTCTGTGACTTCCAGACTAGTTGGGAGCTCATTCTTATTCTTATTTTTGTTTTTAAAGATTATATCAGATTCACAAATTACTAGACAAGCTCTGAATGAGATTGAGTCACGCCACAAGGACATCATGAAACTGGAGACCAGCATCCGGGAGCTGCACGAGATGTTTATGGACATGGCCATGTTTGTGGAGACCCAGGTAATCTGGCACCTTCTCTAACCAGGTGCCTCATGCCAGGTCTCACCTTTGAGCCCACTCTTATGTAGAGCAGACATGATTTTGAAGCTAATCTCAAAATTCAAAAGTTAATTATAGTGTTAAGTGTGACTTAGGGCTGGGGCTGGGGCTCAGAGGTAGAGAGCTTGCCTAGCATGGGTGAGGCACTGGGTTCAATTCTCAGCAACATATATACATACATAAAATAAAGGCCCATCAACAACTAAAAAATTTAAAAAAGTGTTATGCTGAAATGTTGGGTACAGCTCAAGGTTCCAACAGCAGGAAGCTTGTCTAGTAAATTGAGTTATGGTGTGCTCGTGTCCCAGTCAGCCATTTAGATAGCCAGAGGCAACAGAGACTTTCTGCTTGTGGAGAATTTTTAATGAAATATGCAAATATTTTTGTTAAATTTAAAGAAATTAAGGTAAAGGGAGATACTAAATTTTTATGTATATATCCATTTATATGTGTAAATATAAATTTTTATATAAACACACATGGCATGAGCACAGCTACATAGAACAGTGTTTCCAAAGGAAGGAAATATACCAGTCTGATTAAATCGTGAGCTCCAGGGATGTGGATTCTCCTCTCTGAACACATAGACTTTCAAGACTCCTCTGAGAGCCACATCCCAGTGACCACGGGGAGTGTCTGCAGGAGTAAGCATCAGGGGGAAGCAGACCACGGTGCAGATAGGCTTGTACCCACAGCATTTGGTCTGCTCTGCGTGCAGGTAGAGAGCAGAGGAGGGTGGGGAGACCCCCTGGGAGCACTGGAGAGAGGTGCCATCACAGCAGGTGACACTCCGTGTAGCCATGTGCCTGGGATGAGTCTGGACTGCCCAATGGCCTTCAGAGCCCTGCCTGGGGCAGTTGTCTCCAGGTGAGGCTGGAGCCTCCCACCAACCCTTCTGAGCAGCCTCTCCTCCCTTCCTGAGAGTGTTTTGGAGGATGCATGCTTCCAAGAAGGCTGACACTGGGGCATTTCCGTGACCACCTGGATTGCTAAGACGGGGTGGGGAACCATTCACACACACAGGTCATTCCCATGCGCTACATCAGCCTTTTAAAGAGCCCTGTTTATTTTGAGGACTTTTATCATAAAAAGTTGTGTGGAAAACTGCAGTACCGTGCATTTGCCACAAGAAACCCACAGCCAGGGATGGGTGGGCAGAGGTACCCTTCTGATTTGGGGCGGACCCCTTGCCGCTCAGGCAGGGCTCAAGAACTAGAGAGGGGTCTGGTGGCGGCTGGGGTCTTATTTCAGGGAGTACATGATACAGTAAGAACAGTAGTTTAATCTTTATAGCTATAGATACTCCAGGACACCCCAGGCTGTCACTGTCACTGTCCTGTGCGGGCGCAGCGCCTCGCGCACCTCTAGGAGAGCTTCTCGCCCCATGGGGCTATCGGGGCTGTGCTGTGTGCTCTAGTCCTGGTGCACCTCAGGGCTTCTGGAGGCTGACGTGTGGGTGGTGAGTCACCTTCCCTCCTCCTCAGCACTTGGCTCGTCTCTGCTGCAGGGTGTCTCCTGGAGGACAGCACCCAGGTAACGCATCCCCCTGGCCTGTGTGGCCCCTACGGGGTCGGGCTGTGTGTGTGTTCATTCATTCAGTCAAGAATGTCAGACACAGCTGTGGTTAGCTTCCTGGTGTTTCCTAGGACTAGCAGTGAGCTCCCGCCTATTGGAAAGCTGCTGGCCTTGTGTGGACTGTTAGGCTAGTGGTAAAGCATTGTGTGACCCAGAGCTCCCCCTCCCATCCTGCTGTCTGTGGGGCTCACTGCCGGGCCTGCCTGGTGCCTGCCCGTGCCTTGGTCGCCAGCTCTGCTGCTCCCTTGGTTGGTTTTGAATGCGATCGAGTTGGGATGGCTTCGCTTTGCATATTCACGGTATCCTCCCTCTCACTTTCCTTACATACGCAGACATGACGTCCATCTCATGCTCATCGTGTCTGTGTCAAGACTGTTTGGTGGCTCTTTGAAGATACATAGGTGAGTCATTTTGAAAACGTCTTCTAAGGTTGAAACTTTGTGTTTTAAGGGCGAAATGATCAACAACATAGAGAAAAACGTGACGAATGCTGCAGACTATGTGGAGCACGCTAAAGAGGAGACCAAGAAAGCCCTTAAATACCACAGCAAAGCCAGAAGGGTGAGTTCGGTCTCTGACCACCGAGGTGGCTCTCTCTGGCTTGGGTCCAAGTTGGGATGCAGTCACGTAAGTCTGCTGGAAAGGGAGCCAGGAGCACAATCCCTTACCTAGATATCTGGTTGAAAGCTGGTGATCATTAGCACAGTCTTAAAGCACAGCAGGTAAGCGGAGTGTGGGCCACGCGTGTTCTCAGTTACAGGAGCTCCTCACAGGATGGAGCCACCACTGACCCATGGCAGGGAGCACAGGCTTCAGTCCCTGAGTTCTGTTTCCCGGGTGTTATTTGAAGGGACCTAACTGATGGGATTGGGAGTTTGGGAGTCGTTGGTTACATGTTTTATGCAGTAAACATTTATTCCTCACTCAGATTATTTGATAATTGGTTGGAGGAAAGAAGAGAATGATCTGAGACTGTGGGCCTGGCATCTTTTGTGGTGCCCTCAAAGACAGGTGCCCTCTTGCCTGGGATGGGTGTTCCCAGAGCATAGTTGAAAGCTGCTAGCCAGCTCAGGGCTCTGTAGGTCTGCCCCTCGAGTGGGTATGGATTTCCACATTTGGCTGCATCCAGAGAGATGCAGTGAGTAAGCTTGTCAGTAAGTTTCGACATCTTTACCTGAATCTTAGGAGTGTCACCTCATGTATAGTGAACAAGCTCTTCCAAGGAACCCGAAACTGCAGTTGACTCCCACTGGGGTCCAGGAACCGCCTGTGGTGTGTGCTGGCCGGGCTGCCTCTTCCTCTCCCAGCACTGTGGTGTGTGCTGCCCAGGCTGCCTGTCCCTCTCCCAGCATGGAGCACCAGTCTGCGTGGGGTGTTTGTCACACTCACCTTCTCGGAGGGCTGTTTGGCTTCTCAGTGCCACCCACCCTCAGAGGCCATGTGCTCAGTGTGGGCTGGGGCATCTCCGTGGGATGTCCACAGAGGCTCTCTTCAGTGGGGTCGGCTGGAGTGTGTGCAGTGCGTAGAGGCAACTGCAGAGGCACAGCCTGGCACCCCTGCCGGCTTGGCTGAGTGTGTTCCTTAGATTCGAAGTGTAAGGTGTGGTTGCCCACATTGTTCTGTCACCCTTCTTTAAGACACCGACTCAACATGGCCTGAGGGGGAGGTCCAGGTATGAAGTGCCCCACTAGTTCTGGGCACACAGTCGACCTTGACTTTCCTCCCTGTCTCCATGACTCGAGCCTGCCCCTTCAGGGAGGTGTCCGTGGGCAGCTTGTCTCACAGAGAGGAAGGGTGGAGGTGTGGCACATGCTTCTTCACGCTGCGGAGAAGCCGGACTGTGTGCTGCCTGGGCTCAGCAGGCCACCTGTGTGCCAGGCATGGCTCCGACATCACCCCTGTCTGTTGGGTGAAACACCTGATAGCCAAAGCTGCCCAGCCTGCTGCCTTCACCCCCAGCTGCTCCATGCTCTGCTCTGTCCTGCCTGCTGCTGAGCGTGTCTTCTGCTGACATCCAGGGCTACCCTGGGGGCTGCACAGTGCCCGAGCTTAGGCAGTGTCCGTGGATGGTCATGTCCCTGTGGTGTGTTGGGAGCAGCGATGACGTACTGCCTACAACACAGGCAAGACAAGGCAGGGCTTCCCAGGCAGGGTGCCTGCTCCCAGTGCCCAGGATTGGCTGTGTGGCTTTGTACACACAGAAAATCACCTACTTCTGTCTGTCAGAAATGTACTGAAGCCATGGGGTTATGCGGCACCCCATCGAGGCACCCAGTGTCCTCGAGTGACTGATAATTTGGTCTCTGAGCAGCCTGATCTTGTAAATCACGTCACTCTCGAGAACCGAAAATTACCTGGCAGGAGTCAGCCGATGTCCTGCAACACAGAGTGTAAGATTAGTTTGAGGACCATCCTGTCTCCAGGGACGTGCATCTTTAACGTGGGGATGTGCAGCCAACCATGGGATAACCAATCGCTTTTCTTTGACAGAAAAAGTGGATAATTGCTGCTGTGGCAGTGGCTGTGGTCGCCATACTTGCTCTAATCATTGGCTTATCAGTTGGCAAGTGACGGTGTGGCTGATGCTGGCGCTTGCTCCCGACAGGGCAGCAGTAAGTAACTAACCCACTGACTCCTCCTTCCCTCCCTCGCTCAGGGATTGCCACCGCCCGGCCCTGAGCACTGCCACCATGTGCATGTGGGCAGCTGCCCAGGTCCATGCAGGCCCGCCTCCTGTGGTGCTGGGACCCTCTCACTCCAGCTAAGGGGCCTTCAGTGAAGGCCACAGCTGTGCCAATGAAGATGACCCTCCATTAAAAACTAACATTTAACGTTGTAATCTAGCTCCTAAGTCATTACTTTTAGAATAACGTCAACAACTGAAAATCACTTTGTCAGACACACAAACTCATTTTATTGTGGGATTGGAGGTTGGAGCTGGAGTTAAGGGAACATTGACTGGAAGCAGTCCTCCACCAGCCTCTCCACTTGGCAGGTGTGTTTCCAGGTCTCTGTTGGAGCTGCAGGAGTTGAGTCACATGCATGGCCGTTCTTCAAGGAGTCAGTGTAGAGATCTGGTTTCCCCAAAGTGCCATCGTCTTGTTCACTGAGTTCCTTCCCCGTGCCTGCAGGCTCTGTGTGCAGGGCTCCTTCTGCACTTGGAGTTCCCCTTCCTGCCTGGTGTGTTAGCCTGGGCATTCCCGTCACTCACTCCTCTGCAAGAGCTCTATGACTGTGACTGGAGCGTCAGGGCGCTGGGCATGGGGATGCGGTGCTGGGAACGGGAAGGCAGCTCAGACGCTCGGTCTCTTGGTGCCTTGTTTCTGTTTGTTTAAGGTCAGGGCAGAAAGGGATCCTGTCCTGCCCAGTTCCCTCCTGCTTGTCAGTTTGACTCCTTGCTTGTTTCCCCCTGGCGGTGCTGGGGTCTGAGCCGGGGCCCTCACTTGGCACCCCGGCCCTGAGGTCTGCTTTCTGGGAACATCAAGCTGCACTGCAGTGAGAGGATGAGAAGCTTTTGCAGTCCGGGTCTGACAGGTGCGCAGGCCCAGAGGCCCTGCTGAGTGTCCAGTAGTGTGTGCTGGCTGCTGCTCTTGTCAGCATTTGTTCTCTAGATGTGGGAGGACTCAGCCTGTTTCTATGTGTCTTTCTTTCCTAATGCTTTCCTCTTGGCTTTGTTGAAAAATGGCATATGTTAAAATAATGTTATTTTTAATAGCTTCATAATTCTAAAATATGAGTTGTATTTTTTTAGCCCCTTGATAGTTGAATGTGGTTTTGCTAAAGTTGCAGTTTCTTGTTTGGGCCCACTGAGATGTACTGCTTTTCATGGATGCTTCTGAGTGTTGTTATTGAGTAAAAGAAGGTTCTTTTGGTGTGGCCCCCCTTGGAGTGGGGCTGAACCTGTACCTCAGGCCAGCTGGCCATTTTGCCCGGTGCCTATAAATAAGAAGGAGCACAAACTGACCTCCTTCATGTACGTAGTTTTGGACATGAAGGTGGATTGATGACACTAATTATGCTTTTGAAAAAAGCATTTCCTTTTTTTCTTTCACCCTCAAGCAAATCCTGTCGATGCCTTCCTAGAGTCTAGGCACTTCACCTGCCTGTCCTGTGGGATGGGCAGGGCCCAGGTCTCTCTGTGGAGCTGCCTGATCCTGAGAGCTCTGCAGCCCAGAAGAGACACTCGCCTTACACGGGAAGAGATGGGCCCCGAGGTTTAGGTACCATTGGCAGCAGAGCCAGCCCTGCACCAGCTTAGATGAGATGGCTGTTAAATACATGGACATGGGGTGCAGGCGTACACCTGAATTCCTGCTCCCTGAAAGCCATCGTTCTGCAAGCCAGATGTAGCAGGGAAGTGCACACCTGTGTGGCACCAGCTACAGAATTGCAGGAGAGGGCCAGGCTGGGCCAGAGCAGGGGCCTCCCAGGGCGGCTCCAGGTAGAGACAGTCACAGGTCCTGAGGCACTGGACAAATGGCTGTGGAGGAAGGATGGGAGGCCAGGGCAAGAGGTGCACGAGGAGGGTGCCGGCCGGAGCTCACAGTGAGACGTGGGGGACCACGGGGCACAACACTGTCAGAAAAATCCACGCCCCGTGGACAGGGGGCGCCAAATCCAAAGGGATCTGGTGTCCACAGGTCCTTGGCCCAGAGCTCCCTTGCAGGTGCCTGGGGGTCTGGCCTTGGGTAGCTTCAGGAGTCTTGCTATAATTGACGGCTCTCAGCTTGCTGCTAATTTGGAGCTGCCCAGGTTCAGCAGATGGGATTTATTTATTTCCTGCTTCCATCCTTTCCTGTGCTGGGGCTGGAACCCAGGGCCTCCCTTTCTTTGCTTCTCCCTCAGGTGGGTTTCTGCGGGAGACCCACCTATAGGTGGTTCAACTTTGTTGTGTGAGGATGCTTGCTCACAGGAGGAAATCGCCTTGTGCTGTGCCTGCCCTTCGTCTAGGCCACGCCTGTGGAGGACCGAGTCAGTGTCTGGTTGATCTCTTACACACGTACATGCTTAGACGAAAAACAGGGTAAATGGGATTTTTTTAGTCAATGAGAAATAAATTGATTCAAGCTTTTAAAAAGATGTATGATATTAACAGCAGTTCTGGAATTTATTTTAATCAAAGGAAAGTATTTATCAAAGGAAAGGACTTATTATTATACACAGGTAGCCGCACTGTACCATTCCCCTCCAGAGGCAAGTGGTTACTTTAATAGCACATATTTTAAATTAATAATTGGTTTAGTCTAATAAGCACATGTCCCCAACTTAATACTTTGACTGTGGAGTTTTCCTTGTTCCCTACTTTTCTCTGATCTGTAGGGATTCTTAATAACGGTCTTTTATTTTAAAGTATCCCAAATATCAGGATTTTGTTAGGAGATGACACTGTTGATTTCTTTGATATATTGCAAATTAATGTTTTTCTTTATCTTACAGAAAATGATGTTCATTATTATTTGTGTAATTATTTTGCTTGTGATCCTTGGAATTATCCTAGCAACAACATTGTCATAGCAACCACATCCCAGGAGCTGTTTATCCTTGGAGACTGAGCACATCTTCAACAAAGTCTGCCTCCTCTCTGCTCTGAGTGACTCTCAGACCCTGCACTGTGCTGGGTGCTGGCTTCTTCCTGGTGAAGCCAGGAGACAGGCACAGTTGGACGTCGTGTGCTGAAAACACCTGCGCCCAAGGGTGTGACGCGGGCCACACAGCCTTGGGCTCCAGATGGTACACTGCAGAGTTGACAGTGTGATGCTTGCTTCAGTGGCCTTGAAATAAGGAATTATTGACAATTTCAATTCTTAAGATATGCAGTGTTGAGAATGCAGGTCAAGTTTAATTAGGGTTACTCCATGTTACGAAGCATTAGATTATTCCCCCCTTCTCCCAGGTAACGTATATTAATTAAGAGGCTTTTTGTACTATGTGTGTTGATGTCCTGTTTACAGAAATGATTTTTATTATCACAGAGTTGTTTTGTAAGATTTCTATAATTTTAAATGCTTAATATATTAACATCTTCATTTACCGCATTTTTATATGCTAAATATTCCCATGTGAAGGAAATTGGAAGCGTCATAATCTGGGGCCATCTTTGAATGGCCATGTGCCGAGTTGCTGTCACCACAGCAAATGCTGGCATCAGAGCCTTCCTGCCTCTCAGGTGCCTTCTGTGGGTCTTGACTTGGGGAGTGTGATGTGCCTGCTGCCCTCCAGGAAAGTCTGACTGTGTAGTTAGCTCATTTCTACCTGTTCCAGGACTCACGGGAATAAATTATTAGTTACTGCATTGTAAAGACAGTGGTCTCTTCTTTGTTCATTAAAGGTAAGGGTTGTGTTTCCCTGACCGCATTGATGGTGTCTGAATTTAAGACAGTGATGTGACTGAAATTTAGCCACTCTCAAAACTCAAAAAAGAGATTATTCCTAGACATTGAGAAATTCTCATAAATATAAATGTACAAATCATAAATGTATAAATCACTTAAAGCCTTCCCCCCCCCCCCACTGAAGTGTCAGGGGTGCTTTACCACTGAGCCACATCCCCAGTCCTTTTTTTTTTTTTGAGTCAGGGTCTTGCTAAGTTGCGTAGGGCCTTGTTAAGTTGCTGAGGCTGGTCTCAAACTTGCAGTCATCCTGCATTAGCCTCCCGAGTTGCTGGGATCAAAAGGGGTGCGTCACCACGCCTGGCCTTAAATGCTCTTAAGTACCTGATAGTCTGTGGAACTCTCCAAGTTAATTTTCAAAGAAAACTGTTTAAAACTATGATGCTTAAATAGTTTTCTTGCTCATTAATGTTTGAGTAGGATGGCTGAGTGGGTGAATGGACAGCTATTGAGGTAGGAGCCAGTCCTGGGCACACGAAGATGCCCAGCGTCTGGGCAGCTTCATGCTCCGAGAGCAGATGAGCCCTGACTGTCCCTTGGCGTTGTTGGGTCTGACCTGAGATAGACGTGCTGATTCCGTCACCAAGTGTGAGTGCTGCCCCTGATTGCCCAGCAGGGAGCTCCCTGTTCACCCGCGCACACCGTCCAGCTCGGGCTCTGGCTTCTGTCTTTCCTCACCGCGGACCTCCTAGCACCCAGGTACCTTGGGATTCTGGCTCTACTCTGTGCTGGTCTTGGGGCAGCTGCTGCAGGAGACACCCTACCTGTGACGAGGCCAGAGGCGTGCCCGGCTGGAGGTGCTGCCACCCCTGCGTGGGGGTGTCCCAAGCCCACCCTGGACACCTCTCCACTCTTGCGCCCTGTCCCTCTGAGCAGCCTCAGCCCTCGCCTCCCTCCTGCCGCAGCCGAGTCTTCTGGTGGCGGGTGGGCTCCTGGGATTTTGCACATGCTCTTTGATTTGTGCTTTGGATGTTTAAGTCCTTTTCAGGGGACACATTTACTGCCTACGTCTCCTGTCCCTATTTGGAATCAGAGTTTTAAAAATACATTTGCAGATTAACTTTTTAATCATTTAGAAAAATACCTTGTGTTTACATTTAAGAAGTTCTCAGGAGCTAAAAGAAATACTCAACCTCTGTCTTATGATTCCTGGAAAGATTTTTGGGAGATATTTTGTTGTATGTCCATTAATAAATTCTTCTTCTAACACTGTTACCTGTTGTCATTATTGTGCAGGGCATGAACTGATCATTTAAAATGTTATTGATGAAAATTGTTTAATGTTGTCACAATCTTTTGTTCATGTCTAGGACGTCACATGAAAAGCTGGGGACACGGCACAGTTTTCCTGCCCTGGCTTCTGTCCTGAGCATGGGTTCTGCTCTCAGTCTTCTTTGCGTGTCTCATGACTTCTGTCAAAACTGGGCCTTTATGCTTTGACTGTCCCTCTGGTCCTCCCGCCCCTTCCCACCCAAAAGTCCCCTTCCACTTGGGGTCTTGTTTTAGATTCCACTTATGAGAGGAAACTTGGGATGCTTGTCTTTCTAATCTGGCTGGTTTGCTTGACAGGAGTCCCTCCAGCCCACCCACTCTCCTGCAGACCCAGGTGGTAGGTAAGGCTCTGGGTGCACACCACATCTTCATCCACACCTCGTTGGACACCAGGGTGGTGGATAAGGCTCTGGGTTCACACCACATCTTCATCCACGCTTTGTTGGACGCCAGGGTGGTAGGTTAGGCTCTGGGTGCTCATCACATCTTCATCCACGCCTCATTGGACACAGGGTGGTAGGTAAGGCTCTGGGTGCACACCACGTCTTCATCCACACCTCGTTGGAAGCCGGGACTGGCTCCACAGCTTGCCTGCTGTGGCTGTGCCCTGTTAGACGCTGGCCTGCAGCTGTCCCCGCCGCGTGCTGACTTGGTTTCTTCCCCAGGAGTGGATGGATGGCACGGGCCACCTGAGGTTCCACAGCTGAACCGTTGATTATTTGAAGTCTGCCTTCCTGGGGCTGTCCTGTGTCTGCACAGATGTGTGCCAGCCAGTGACTTGACAGGTCAGGGTGGGCCACTTTGTCCGCTGCTGTGGCTCTTCTGAGGGTGGGACAGGCTACATTCAAGTCCACCTTGGCCTTTCTGGGCCCTCTGAAGTAGTCACCGTGGTGGGGCAGTGGGCTGTCAGAACGGGGCCTCAGTGAGGCTGCTTCATGGTTGCAGTGCCCACCACGAGGACTTGGCATCTCTTATCTCTAAAAATCCTGCTTCTCTTGTCCCTTCAGGCCTGTGAATGGCGAGCCCTTCCTGTTGTTGCCAGTGGGGGACCTCGGGCATCCACCTTCGTTCCTCATCTTGCCCGTGTCTCTTGAGAGTGGCCAGATGGGACCATGGGGGAGGGGGTACACAGATGTATCCACAGTCAGAGTACTTGGAGAACGCTCCCAAGTCAGGTGGGAGGGATGACCATCCCAGCAGAAGGGTGTTTAAAGAGGGGCAGGCCATCACCTGGGAAACACTCTGCATGTGTGGGCCAACAGGTGCTGGGGTAAAGGCCAGAGGGAAGGGGCTCAGCAAGTTGGGAGGCAGGAGGTGGCCAGCTGAGGGGTTGTGGGAGGGTCCCAGTGTCAGATCATCAGGAGCCTGCCGAGGCCAATGGAGGGTTTTTTCCTGTCTTTTTTTAAAGGGAAATGAAGGAAAGGGAGTGCAACTGGGGAGCAAGAGGCCAGGGAAGTGGTGGCCAAGTGTGGGGTAACCAAAGGTGACAGCAGAGGTGGACAAGGTTATGGTGCCTCTTCTCTAGGAATCTGGTTACTCCTAAGTAGTGGATTTAAACAGAGCCTTGCTGTGGTCTTGACCAGGTGTCCAGAGGCCTTTCCAGGAGGCACAGCTTCTCACGGGGCTCTTGCTGTACCTTGTCCGTGGACCAAGCTGCCTTGCACATGGCCGTGCTCAAGCCTGGCTCACGGGCACCCAGCTATGCCAGGTTACATCCCCTCACCCAGGAACACATTCCCTTTCTGCAGACACGGCCCCAGCCCACCTGTGGGTCTATGAGGAAAGTGTGAGCAACTCGAAGGAACATCAGCATGACTCAGGCCACCAACCGCACCAGGGCCACTGGGCAGTGCCAGGCATCCTCGTGGGGACCCACAGTGTTATCTATGCATCTCCACCTCCTGGAGTGGCATCTGCCTTGCCACTGGGGAGCCTAGAAAAAATGCCCTGAACTCCTGGGCCTGTCACAGGTCAGTTCTCCCATATCCTGGCAGTAGATGGCATCCTGGTCTTTGACACCTAAGCAGGCTTGGGATGTCTCTGGGACCTTCCCTGAGTGCCCATCAGCAGAGGGAACAAGCAGCGCCCTCAAGTCCCCACCAGAGGGCGGCTTTGAAACGCTGTTTGATTCCCTTTGGGCACATTCGTGCAGTTAACCTCTGCAGGAGAGGAGACCAAAGAGAGCAGCCAGACTGGGTGGGCCCTGCTGAGATCTGAGCCAAACAAAACAACTGTAAACTTTGTTGAGGTAATCAGGTAAATATGAATGTGCACTGTGTAGAGAGCAGGCCATGCCTGCCCCAGTGACTCCGTGGTGTGTAGAACAGCAGCTCTCAGGCTGTGCCTGCCCTGAGTGACTCCATGGTATGTAGGACAGCAGTCCTCAGGCTGTACCTGCCCTGGTGACTCTATGGTGTAGAACAGCAGCTCTCAGGCTGCACCTGCCCTGGTGACTCCATGGTGTGTAGAACAGCAGCTCTCAGGCTGTGCCTGTCCTGGTGACTTCATGGTGTGTAGAACAGCAGCTCTCAGGCTGTGCCTGCCCTGGTGACTCTATGGTGTGTAGAACAGCAGCTCTCAGGCTGCACCTGCCCTGGTGACTCCATGGTGTGTAGAACAGCAGTTCTCAGGCTGTTCCTGCACTGAGTGACTCCATGGTGTGTAGAATATTAGCTCTCAGGCTGTTCCTGCCCTGGTGACTCCATGGTGTATAGAACAGCATCTCTCAGGTTGCGCCTACCCTGAGTGACTCCATGGTGTGGAACAGCATCTCTCAGGCTGTGCCTGCCCTGTTGACTCCATAGTGTGCAGAACAGCAGTCCTCAGGCTGCCTGTCCTGGTGACTCCATGGTGTGCGGAACAGCAGTCCTCAGGCTGCCTGTCCTGGTGACTCCATGGTGTGCAGAACAGCAGTCCTCAGGCTGTGTCTGCCCTGAGTGATTCCATGGTATGTGGAACAGCAGCTCTCAGGCTGTGTCTGCCCTGAGTGACTCCATGGTGTGCGGAACAGCAGTCTTCAGGCTGTGTCTGCCCTGGTGACTCCATGGTGTGCGGAACAGCAGTCTTCAGGCTGTGTCTGCCCTGGTGACTCCATGGTGTGTGGAACAGTAGCTCTCAGGCTGTGTCTGCCCTGGTGACTCCATGGTGTGTGGAACAGCAGCTCTCAGGCTGCGCCTGCCCTGAGTGACTCCATGGTGTGTAGAATAGCAGCTCTCAGGCTGTGCCTGCACTGAGTGACTCCATGGTGTGGAACAGCAGTCCTCAGGCTGTGCCTGCCCTGGTGACTCCATGGTGTATGGAATAGCAGCTCTCAGGCTGTTCCTGTCCTGGTGACTCCATGGTATGTAGAACAGCACTCTCAGGCTGTTCCTGCCCTGAGTGACTCCATGGTGTGTAGAACAGCATCTCTCAGGTTGCGCCTACCCTGAGTGACTCCATGGTGTGGAACAGCATCTCTCAGGCTGTGCCTGCCCTGTTAACTCCATAGTGTGCAGAACAGCAGTCCTCAGGCTGCCTGTCCTGGTGACTCCATGGTGTGCAGAACAGCAGTCCTCAGGCTGTGTCTGCCCTGAGTGACTCCATGGTATGTAGAACAGCAGCTCTTAGGCTGTGCCTGCCCTGGTGACTCCATGGTGTGT